CCTTCAATGGCTTCAAAAGATACTAAAGAGGACTTAAATAAAGGAGGGAGGGATTAGGGTTTCTCAAGTCTCAAGGAGGCTAATGGAGGCTAAGGGTGAGCAAACCCTAGCATCCTCATTTCTTTAAATATGGAGCAAAACCAAGAAAATAGGCTATGTCAATTGTCAACTGCCAAGTTGTAGCCATATACTACCACGTCATGTTGGCTTAAATGAACCCGTGATCTAATCTTGATTTGTCACATCGTGGTGCCTCCACCATGTCGTGGAAAACCCTAAAATGCCAAAAATTGAAAATGTAAAGTACCTCGGGATCCTCATGTTACAACTCTCCCCTAATTGAATCAAACTTTGTCCTCGAAATCCACCACAGCAAATAACTCGAGGTAATGCTCTCTCATTCCGTCCTCTGGCTTCCACATCCACCTAGAATCCTTTCGGTGTTGCCACTGTACATGTACTAGGTTCACCACTTTGTTGTATAGACTCCTTGATTTTCTATCGAGGATCGTAATCAGTCTCTCCACATTGTTTAAATGCTTATTGACCTGAATGTCATCCAAAGGAATCACTATAAACTCATCGGATACACACTTTCATAACCAAGAGACATGGAAAGTATTATGGATCTGTCTGAGCTCCTCAAGTAAATCCAGACGGTACTCGGGTGATAATCCTGAAAGCATAGATCAACCGGGGGCCTAGCTTGCCCTGCTTTTGAAATCGGATGACAGTCTTCCAAGGTGACACCTTCAGAAGCACCAAATCCCCCACCTGCAACTCAAGGTCTGATCGTCGCTGGTCAACATAACTCTTTTGTCGGCTTTGAGTTGTTTGTAATCACGGTGTGATCTGTTGAATAAGCTCCATAGTCTAAAGAACTACCTCAGACTTACCCATAACTATGTGTTCGACCTCTCCCTAACAAACAGGTGTGCACTTCCTCCCACAGAAAAGCTCAAAAGGCAGTGCACCGATACTAGAATGGTAGCTATTGTTGTAGGAAAACTCAGCTAAGGGAAGGTAAGAGTCCCAACTCCCACCGAAATCTATGATACATGCTCTCAACATATACTCGAGCATCTGGATGGTCCGCTCGCTTTAATCATGTGTCTGCGGATGACAGGTAGTGCTAAAGTGAAATCTCATACCCAGCTCCTTATGGAACCTCTTCCAAAATCATGAAGTAAACCGAACAACTCGATCAGATACAATAGACCGTGGAACCCCATTGTGAGCAATGGTCTCACACATATACACATCAGGTAATTTCTCAGTCGATGAACTCTCCCGAATAGCTAGAAAGTGTGCACTTTTGGTCAAACGATCCACAATGATCCAAATCGCATCAAATCCTTTAGTCATCCCGGGTAACATGGTGATATGTTCCCATTTCCACATGGGAACCTCCAAAGGCTGTAACTTGTTGTACGAACTTTGGTGCTCAGCATGGCCACCAGTAACTAAGTCTCAAATGTTGATACATACTTGTGTCTCCTGGGTGAATCAAAAATATGGACTTATGAGCCTCATCTATAGCTATAAGTCAGATCCCGCTGGAAAATGGCACCCATACCCGACCACTAATAGTCTGCGACTGTCAGTAGAGAAACTTTCAATCTCATCCCTAATTCTCTCTTTCTTCCAATTATCCTTCTTGACTCTCTCGACCTGAGCCTCCCTGATCAAATCTAGAAAGCATCATCAATAGAAATCCGCATAAACACCCAATAGAAGTACTAGATGTCTTGCGGCTAAAAGCGTCAGCAACCACATTTGCTTTCCCAGGATGATACAGAATCTTGCAGTCATAATCCTTGACCACGTTAAGCCATCTACACTGTCTCATATTTAGATTCGTCTAATCCATGAGATATCTCAGACTCTTATGATCTATGTATATGGTACATCAGACCCCATATAGATAATGCCGCCAAATCAAAAGGGCAAACACCATCACCCATAACTCCAGATCATGCGTCGGATACTAAACATCATGTGGCTTCAACTGCCTAGAAGCATACACAATAACCTTGTATCTTTGCATGAGTCCTTCTCCCAAACTGGTGATAAATGCATCACAACATACAAGAAAATCCTCCATGCATTCTAGAAGGGTCAACATCGGGGCCTCACATAATTTCTTTCTCGGCATCTCATCTTCCCAACAAAAAGCCATGCCCTTCCTCGTCAAATGAGTGAAAGGTACAGATTAGGTTTTGCACTTACTTAATATTATTAACAAATTTAAAATCAATATTTGAAAGAAATTAAAAAGTTATGGGAGTTTCAAATGGATGTGGTGATAAGAGAATATATCTTTTATTCAATGGCTTTGTACCGCATGTTACTCATAAATAAAATTAAATATGATATACGGCTTAATGTTATTTATAGTTGTTATCATTAATTAATTTTTTTTTAAATTATTTTCTTAAGATATTAATGTCTACCATTATAATTATGTAAAACATTAAACATTGTTTTTATTTTTAAAGGTAACAATAAAACTTTTTATATTATAATACTTTTAACTATTGTTGTTGTAAGTTATTTTTAAGTTATTTATTTTGAAACTCTTACTGATTATAAGAATAATTTTTAGAAATTATTCTACTTAATTTGGGATTACAATTTAGGTTTTGCATTTAACATTGCAATTTATAACTTTCAACTATTTACAAAATAATCTTTAGATTTTCTTTGAAGTTTAGCTGAAGTTTCGATCTAAGTTAACCCTTTAACGTTATATTTAGATTAACAATTTAAGTATTTTATAGAAACTATCTAAAAGTTGTGATTTTAAATGACAATGATTTATATATAACAACATATTCAAACTAATAAATTAAGTATAATATATTAAAAGTTAAGGATAAAATTTTATAAATAAAAGTAAAATATGTTATTTTAATATTAACGTTTAGTTAATTTGGGATTACAATTTAGGTTTTGTGTGTATTTAATATTAATATTAATAACAAATTATAATCATTATTTGAAAGATGTTAAAAAGTCATGCAAGTCTAAAATGTATACGGTGAATATATATATATATATATATATATATATATATATATATATATATATATATAGAGAGAGAGAGAGAGAGAGAGAGCGAGAGAGAGAGAGAAAGTAAAGATCAAATAAGAATGAAATTTTTGGTAGGAAGGTAAGAAACTTTTTTATATGCATATTTTCTTAGCAAAAAAATAAAATGAATCATTAGATGATTCAAAAGTAAGATGATTCACAAGAAAAAATTCTAAAAAAACACATTCATGATTCATTTTTAGGTAAATCAACAAAAAAAATTCACTTTTATGACAATTTTAGTGAATATCAATAAAATCATCATAAAACTGAATCATCGAAATGTTTTTTCTGGATTTTTTTTGTTGAATCATATTATTATTGATTCATTTAGTGATTCATTTGTTTTTTTCATCAAAAAAATAAGTTGAAAAAAAAAATTTACCTTCCTACCAAAAAAAAAAAATTCCGGATCTATATATATATATATATATATATATATATATATATATATATATATATATATATATTGTTTATACTATAATATAGATTGATAGATAGACAGACAGCCATATAAATATAGTGTTCTCATGAAAAAAGATGAGTCATTATTGGCAATATATATAAATACATTAAACCTAATGGACTAAACATTAAGGTGAGCATATTAACCGGAAACCGGAACAAAACAAAATTAACCGAATATAAATGAACCATTACTAAAAGAGGTGGTGTAATTTTTAATTTGGATTAATAGAATATGTATGTTTTGGTTATGGTTTTCATCTAAAATCAAATCACTACAAACCGAATAGAACCAACAATATTAATAAATGGTTTTTAATATAATATAATATTAAATATATAGTGTTTAATTATATTACGAATTGAAAATTGGATAATTATTTGGAATTAGATGAGATACATAATTTTTACTCATGTTACTGTTATTACATTTATGCAATTATTCAATTTTTACAACAATGTATTTATGTTACTTTTTATAGTAAAGTAATTTTTTTTATGTCATTTTCAACGTTACGTTAATTATGTTAATCGATATTAACTATTAACCAAACCATTAACCGAATAAAACCATTAACCAAAGCCAGTAATAACCAATATTAAATGTCTACAAAAATACATTAACCAATTATAATGGTTATAGATTGATTTTGACCAATAACCGAACCAAATAACCACATACATACTCTTACTATTCATCATATCACATCATAGACGAGATACAATTGTCAATTGATGCTATACATCAGTATATTAAAACCTAGAGGTGCATACAAAAACCAATTTTTGATTTGTTACCAGTTTTGAAACGTAACCAAATTGAGTTAGAAACCGGTTTGATTGAAACCAATTTGGTTTCAGCCATCCTACGGACACCATTCAATATTGGATTGACATATGGAATGTTGGAACCGGTTTTTATGAAAGATTTGGAAAATCCAATTAGAAACCGGTTTTCAAATCTTAAAAAACAATTTTCATATAATAATAAAACATTGTTTTCATCTATTATTTCTTCAATTTGTTGTTAGTATAAGGCTTTTGATGGTTTTCCAATACCGATTTTCACGCTTTATAATATCCTGTGAAACACTCTTCTAAAAAACTAGAAGTTTTTGCTTATTGATTCGTTTCTCATGAATCATAAAAATTTGTTAAAATCCAACACGACAATCACCCTATTATCACACCAAAAACAAAACCAAACTTGAAAATGATACGTTAATCCAATCATCATAGTTCAAGTAACAATATCATTCATATTCCAGTCTGCTATCAAAAAAGCATACCAAAATTTCACTTTAACATTCGAGCAATCATTATATTCCATCAAACCCACATACCAAATCATCAACAACATTATTCTACTCAACTCAAACTGTATCTATATTTCACATATACTAACACTAAACCTTCAAAAATCATCTCACAAATTTCAGTTTTCAGTGTACACCAACACCCCTTTCGAGCTTCCGGCGTTCATAATCAGCATCATCTGTTGGCAGTTCATATCGGCAAACAGGGCAGGTGTTCCTAATCTCCAGCCATGGCACTATGCAATCACCATGGTAACGATGATTACAAGGAAGCAATTTCGCTATTTCTCCAACACTAATTTCATCTTTACAAACAGCACAAAGGGTGGTGGTGTTCTTTTCAACATCTTCTTCACTTATAACAACAGTTGAAAGATTCTCCACTGCTTTTTTGGAAGCAGGTGGTCGACCAAAAGATGAAACATCACTATCGGCAAATTGCCCGAAGAACATTTCATATTCTGTGTAATTGTATTCATCGTACTCACCTGAAACATCTGGATTTTGTTCGAAGTTTTGAGCATTCAATAGAACTTCCCAATCCGATCCATCTCGATCTTCTTCTTCTTCTTCTTCGTGTGATTCGTGATTTCTAGGAGGGATTCCTGGTAGAACAGATGCATCGTCGTCAGCTTCTGCACCGAAAAACATGTTTAATTCTCTTCCGTCGATTCGTTCATGTTCATCCACTTCCTCCCAATCGAAATCTCCATTGATGTTGCTGTTTGGATTCGGTGTTGTGTTATCATCGTCTAGATGGAAAGAATCCCAGCAAAGGTGAAGACTGGTATCGTCATCATAGTCTCTAACTCTATCCATGTCGGGACCACCCTCCACCTCGCCGCCGCCGGATTCGAAGGAATCGGACACTATATCAGTCACCGTCAACCCACCCATGAAAAATTCAGGAGCACCTGAATCGATAGATGAACGGCTGGATTCCGATCGACCGATTCTCCGTCTGGATACAAACATTTCGTCCCCGATATCAGCAACCGTAAACCCAGAGTAATCATCATCGACGCCTCTACCACTAGGGTTATGGTTATCATCATGATTTTCTACATGAAACCCTAATTCTGACCCAAAATCCTCCTCAAATTCATTCGAATTCCCATCTTCATTTCCTTCAACAACCCCCGAACTCCGATCAGACCGAACCAATCGGTGGTTCTCTTCACTTAAACGCGACACAGAATGCAGTTGCAGTTGCTGTTGCGATTGCGATTGCGATTGCTCAACGCGTTGATGGAACATGTCGATTACGAAATTTGCCTGGGTCTCTCGATCGAGAGATGAATTACGATCAAGACCGCATCTTCGGGCGCAAAAGAGATCTTCGGAGGAAGGGATGTCGAGATCTGGAGTGTAAACGTCGAATCCGTCAAGATCATCGGGCCATTGAGAAAATGATACTAGAACGTCCTGCCTCTCGTCATTGTCGTCGTCGTCGTGGAAGTAGGAAACATCCGCCATTGATAAAGCTTTGTGGGTGTTGTGGTGTTTCAGGCGAGGGGAGGAATGGAATTTGTAGTTGGTAATAAGATATTTGCTGGACAGGGGATTTTGCACATTTGGAAGACTCATGAACCATGAGTTTAATTTACAATTTCTAATTTTAATTTTAATATTAATCTGGTCAATCTATTTTTAGTATTTTTATTATATTAAATCATTTTAATATTTCTTTTATCAAGAACTGTTATTTTTTTATTAATATTAAGGATTAAATGTTTGCATGTAATAACAACCCTTTTTTTCACCAATTCAAAAAAAAAAAAAAAAAAAAAAAAAAAAAACGATGATAATTGAATTATATCTAACAATGGAAATGATTTGCAACCTTATATGAATAATGTATTCGAATTAGAGGTTTTAATTGTTAATTATTTTTGCATCACAAAAAATATTGAATAGTTTTACTCTTGAGTAACAGAATAGGTATTTAGTTAGCGTCAAATGTCTATGCTACCAAATTTTTGGTGGTTGCATTTATCATAGATGAAAAAGTTTCAGTTGGAAAAAATATTTTGTGAAAAAGAAAATCAAAACTGTTTACAAACAATTTAAACTCATTCATACTCTTCATCAATACAATTTACCCCTTTCATCTCAAACCAAAAGTCAAAAAATCATACATCAACAAAATCAAAATTGTTTGATATTCTCTTCAATAATAATAATAAATAAATAAATAAATAAATAAATCAAAACTATTTACAAACATCGATTATCAAATGAAGCTTCGTTAAGATAGTGTGCGAATCAAATATAAATATGTATAAGAAAAGATGGAAATACGAGACAGTACAGTGACGCAAAAATGATGAATTATCCTTGATATTGGCGGTCAAGCATGGGAAACAACACATTTTCGATAAAAAGAAGTACATGAAGGATTTACAGATTCGGTGTATCAGATATGCAGATGATTTAAGTTAGATTCTTAGAATCTTTCTATTTTAATTATATATTATTGATCTTATTTGATTAAGATTTTTGAAATTGTTTGGTCAAAGTAATGGATGATGTATATTGTATTATGAGAGGTAAAATAGTAGTTTGTTGGGGGTGGTCATAAGAAGGCCGAATTTGGTGGAAATAAGGATATTATGAACAGAGAAAGGTTATCTCATTACTTATTGACAATCTTTTCTTTAATCTTGAACATATAATGTAGAGTACTAAATGGCAATTTCATACTTTCATATTATGATTTAAAATACATGAATTGGTTGAAATGTATTTTTCTAGTATAATCTACTATTTAATTAACTATAAAACCTTCTTGTTTACAAGCCATGTGTTCCTATAAATGACAAAACACAAACATAATCACGAGGAGTCGTTTTAAAAAAATGTATAAATAATTTGGTTTATATTAAGTAGATGTTTCACTTACATTTTTTTTTTATTCTACGTATATTTTTATTGTACATTGACTACCATCGAGAAATAGAAATCACGACCGATTTTAATTTGTGGATTTATAAACTCCTATAAATAAAATATAGTCATTTACAGTTTTGGCCCTTCTGGTTGGCACTCTTTTACAGTTCTAGTCTTTGATTTGAAAATTTAGCATCGACAATCCTCATGATTTCGAAATTCATCACGTTTGATCATTTGTTGTAACCTTCTACCCAAATCCATTAACCAATAATAAAATGAACATTTTACCTTTTATTTTTTTTATTTCTTTATATTATTTAAGCTTTAAGGACCAATTTTATAAAAATAAATCAATAAAAACCCTAAACCATCATCATTCATCAATTCACATCACCTTATTTTTCTGTTCCATTATATGCCTCCATCATAATCTCCGGCCACCTTTGCATCCTCACTGATAACTACAACCCTCATCGTATCTCCGGCCACCTTTGCATCCTCACTGATAACTACAACCCTCATCGTGAAATAGTGTCCATGATCATTAACTAATTTGTAATATTTCTAAATAATAACATATTTCTTTTGAGGCGGTCTTATGACACAAATAATTAAAATGAAACGGAAAAAATAAATTATTAATTTATTTGGGAATTAAAAATTATTTTGATAATTAATTTAATTGATTAATTAAAGGTCTTGAGTATTAATTAATCCAAAAGATTAATTGGAATATACCAAAAACTTCTAAAAAGTTGGAGTTGGTACGGATGATTTTATGCATAAGGCATATTTCAAATAAAGCAAGAATAATCTTTAACAGTTAGAAACTGATAAGAATAATCTTTAAGAGTTAGAAACTCTATAAGATTTATTTGCTAACAATAAATAAAGGCTTTTAGATTAAATCCTAAAATACTCTCTCTCTCTCTCTCTCTCTCTCTCTCTCTCTCTCTCTCTCTCTCTCTCTCTCTCTCTCTCTCTCTCTCTCTCTCTATATATATATATATATATATATATATATATATATATATATATATATATATATATATATATATATATATATATATATATATATATATATATATATATATATACACACACGAAAATCATAACCCCTCTCTAGGGTTATGGGATTTTCACATAAACCTTAATAAGGTTATTCCTTGTTTTTGGAGATCTAAGAGGTAAATAATTTATCCTTCTTTTAGGTTGACTTTAGAGTATATTGCTAAAACTAGTAAAAATGAGATTTTGTGATGCATGTCCACTTAAGTAAATCTTTTGGTTATTTTGGTTATTTTAGATAATGTACTTGATGCAATAAATCTCCTACAACGGTATCAAAGCCAATATGTTATTTCACCCCTTTCATCTCAAACAAAAATTCAAAAATCATTACATAAACAAAATCAAAAGTTTTTACAAACATGCATAGACATCTATCAATTATCAAAATAATGTGCAAATCAATTTACCAATTCTACAATAATCTCTTGAAGCTTGCTATTATACCAACAAGAACTCTACAACATTTCTAAAGAAGATAAAGAAAAGATCGAAGATGAAGATGGGGGACCAAATAGTCAATTTACTTGGGACTTAACGAAACCTTCTTTCAAAACAACTATCAAACAATCAAATCCATTCAAAAACCTATAATATAAATAAACTTAAAACAAACTCCATAATAATATCTAAACAAAAATCACAAACCAATTGGTAACAATTAACAAACTACAACTCAAGTCATATATATACATATCTTTTACCATTTCCAAACCCTATTTCTCATTCTTCTTAAACTTCTTCAAAGAATCAAACACCGACGAGCTTTTTTCTTTTTCTTGATTGTTTGAAGATTTCACAAACGGATTTGTTGACCTTTGTTGACTCACCTCCCCATTACTACTCTTCTTCACCAAACCTTTACTTTCAGATTTTGTAGCCTCTTTCACTTCCACCACTTTATTCCCAATTTTAGGGTTTGTTGAATTTTCTGTTGATTTTTTCTTCAGAAAAGAAGGCGAAGTAAGTTGCACTTCATTCACACATTCTTGACCTTTCACAATTTCTGGTGATACGAATGTTTTTGTTGTTGTATTATTAACACAAACAGTCTCTATTGCTTCTTCTTTAAGCAACCTTTCCTGAAAAAACAACAAAAGTTTTAAATATTTCTAAAGTTGGATTTAATTTAAATAATTGATTGAAGGATTGATGAAATACCTCCAAAATGGTGTTGAATCTTTCTGCTAAATTTGGTAGTTTTAAAGCTGTGACAAGCTTTATTGCACCTCTAACAGATTTCTCAAGTGAAAGAAGCTTAACAAGTTCTATAGCTCTCACAAGTTTATCACCTAACAATATAAAACATAATAAATAAATAAATAATAAGTTTTTAAGACAAAAAAAAAAAAAAAAAAAAAAAAAAGTAGCATTTAGAAATTATAACTCACCATTACAACAGGAAGCAATGAGTCTTAAGATGCATCGATCCAAAGCTGTTTCGATATTAAAGGCCTCGTCTTCAAGTGAAGTTGTATCATCATCTCCTGTTGCTTCTTTTTCTTCAATCTTTCTTTGAATCTGTAATAAAATTAAAAATTATTATTTATAAGAAGGGAAATAAAGAGTTTAATATTTAATATTTAATATTTACCTGGGAGAGATGCATGTTGCTAAGAATGAACTCATTTTCAAGAGCTTCAGCTCCCAAATCAGATGATGCAAGAGGGATTGAAAGATCTAATAGTGTCAGAACTGGTTTAGGAGCAGCCTGAATAATAAAATAAAATTATTATTTTCAAAAAATAAACATGAAAACTGTAAATTTGTTTTTTGTGTTTTGGTGTTGATTGTTATATTACCTGTGGGAATTTATCAGGGGATTTGCATAAAACGCAAAACAAATTGGTTTTATTTAATCCAACAACCCAATAGCTTTCATCTTTCTTCTTTAATTTACTTGCACTGTATAAAAAGAGCAATATTAGTAAAGAATAAAAATAGTTAAAAAGAAATATTTATAAAAAAAAAAAAAAAAATGGAAGGATTATTTACCTAAAAAGTGGGAACCAGCTGCCTCCATATTGATTACTGAATACACGGAGAACACCCTGCATGTATAAATAAAATCAAGTTATTTATAAATTATATTTTGGGATAAATGCAAGAAAATATCAATGTAATTTCATTGATTTTCTAATACAAAATTGTATTTGAAGAGTATTTTTAAAAGTGTGATGTTTTAATAAAGAAAAAAAGTTAAAGATAGATGTTTATATTTTGTGTTTTTTCAAGATGAAACCTTAATTTTATTTTTTTCATGAAAAAGACCTTATATTTTTTTTTCATTTTTTCCGAAAAACCCCTCAATCTTCTAAATGTTTCCAAATAAATCCTCAACTTTTTTAGTTTTCTGAAAAAGCCCTTACATTTTACAACTTTTTTGGGTTAATCTCATAAAAGACATTATATTTTATGTTCTTTCTGGATTAAACCTCAAATTTATTTTTTTCATGAAAAAAAACATGCATTTTTTCATTTATTTTTTTCCGATATGGCCCTTTAATCATTTGTCTCCAAAAAAAAGTTGTAAAATGTGAGGATTTTTTTTCAGGAAAAAACTAAAAAAGTTGACGGTTTATTCGGAAACATTTATAAGGTTGAGGGGTTTTTTTGGAAAAAAAATA